CCTTGGTCAGACGTCATTCAGCCGTCCTTGGATCTCGTCCCACCGGTGCTCAATGGGATTTAAATCGGGACTGAGGGCAGGCCACGACATGGTTCTGATGCCATTCTGCTGGAGGAAGTCTCCTGTTGCTCCCACAGTGTGGGCACGGGCGTTATCATGCTGAAACTCGTGGGTGCGGTGACAAGCCAAATGAGGTATGGCGTGTTGTCTCAAGACTTGATCAATGTACCGAGCTGCTGTGACACCATTGCTCGTCCCTGGACCGATGCTCTGGAAGACCACAGGGCCGACCCTCTGTGCAAGACCAATTCCACCCAACCCCATGATGCTTGGACCACCCCACGAGTCTCTCTCATTAACACAAGCATCCGAATAACGTTCCCCACGGCGTCGCCAGACTCTCTCTTTCTGCCATCTGCTGTTGAGATACAGTAACGGATCTCGTCTGAGAAGGGGACTCTTCTCCACTGCTGGTGGCACCATTGCTGGTGGTGTGTTGCCCACTGAAGACGGTCCCGGCGATGACGTGGTGTCAGAATGGATCCTCGGTGTGGCCTTTGACAGTGAAGGTGTCTGCTCGTCAATCGGCGATGCACGGTGTCCGCACTAATGTGTCGCTGATGTGTCCCCATGGTCTATCGAGCAGTTTCCGATCTGACGATCCTGACGTTGGGTCGTGACCCTTGGTCTTCCACTACATGGTCGGTCTTCTATAGTGTTCAAGGCGTTCTGGTACCGTTGCTGGAGCCTGTATATGGTCCTTACGTGGACTTGAAATGCATTGGCTAGTTGCCGGGTGGTTTGTCCAGCTTGCAATCGTCCAAGGGCTTGGTGTTGCTGATTTCTTGTCAAACGTTGCATGTGGTGGCAATTCAATAACGAATGAATGTTATCCGATCTGGGTGGATTTTTATAGGGCAAGAAATGGGGGAACGCATGTGGATTTCAATTTGCACAGAACTCACGTGCATCGGGTTACCATGGCCGTTGCCGTGATGCGTTTGGGCGATCGGTTTTATTGTCATCTGCTTTGTTTTTTATCATCAAATTTCATTTTTCCGGACAAGGTTGTGTTAAATTTTAGAAACTTTGACAAAAGTTACCGAGATATTTAAATGACCACTTTTCATGCAATGTTACTTGGGGTGACGTTTCTTTTGCGGTGAAGTATATTAATGGACCTATTTGGGATTTTCTGTTTATCGACACGGAGCCAGACAATCTATAATTATCGATTTATATCGATTTCGTTATTCGATTTTCACATTGTCGGGTCTTTTTGTATTCATCTCTCGTAGCTACACATAATGCATTCAAAACATACAACGTATTTATTATTTTCATCGATAGACTGAACTATTGTACAGTGAGAACTGAAATCAATTCTGAACCTAAAACACTGGGATCAAAAACTGTGATTACTAATATTAGCGTCGCTGCGTGTTCCCATTACTGATCAATACTACTTGTAGCTGGTTATCACCTTGGCGACAAGCGATTGCCCTTTAGATCGTGCCGAGTTAAGTTAAATGTCCTCTTTCACGTTTAATCTTGTCGGGCAGCTCAGACACTCGCGGGTGGATCAAGTGAGGATTTCTTAACGCCATGGCCATCCGCTCCATCTGACCCCGGTGTTGCAGAGTCAGCCACATAACTGAATGAATGAATGAATGAATGAATGAATGAATGACTATTGTTTTACGCCGCATCAGCAATTTACCAGCTATTCACGGCGAGAACCAGTTACAATTGCAAACATATACTAATAAAGGGCAACAGTAAAAGTATGATATCAAAGATCACATAAAATATCAGATCGCAGACAAATGGAAAAAACCCTGACTATTTGGGTTAAAACCTAATCTTGTCATAAAGATGGTTTTCTTTCAAAAATACTATAATTGTTTGGCTATGAACTTGAGTAAAAGGTTGTTTCAAAATAGAAACATTAAAATATGTCGCACTTATCCCGCGATATGCCAAGGAGAGGCACGGGCCACCGAGCCGTGGGTGCCCGTGCCTATAATAAAAACAGAAGATGAGGTTGGGTTAAATGGCCGAGGGTGTGCAGGTACTAGTGGGCTACTTAGCTGCTAATTGTGTATACCAAAATGCTACCGTTGCCATGGCCACGCGCGTGGCCGACGGCGATTGCAGCTAGCGCTGCTGGCCTGGGACTGCTACCGCTGTCCGGCCCCCACGGTAGCATATTTAACCGCTACATCAGTATCCACACCGTCTAAAAGTATGTGTTTTATGGTAACTTGACATTGATAAGGAATACACATGGGAGCATCTTCTCCCTTTAAAAGGAAAGCATGAGTAAAATGTGAATGTCATATACGGCATCGGCTTAAAACAACATCATCTCTACGACAACCAATACTGATATTGTTATGTGTGAATTGTGAGTTGGGTTTAACTCCGCTTTTAACAGTATTACAGTTATATCAGGGCGTGTCAGCTTAATGTGGGAGGAAAGCCCGAAGTGATGCAGGTCTCAGACGTTTACCACTTCGGTGAAACCCACGAGCACGGGTATGGTGCTGACAAACCTAGAAACATAATCGGGGCGAACCGGGATTCGAACCCACAATCATAGGTTTCTGGCGCGTCCGAAGGGACGCAACTCTGCACAGCGAATCGCGGCGCCTTAGACGACTCGGCCACCCGTGCCCCCCGATATTGTTATGACATATAAGTGGTTGAATATTGTGCAGCTTGTTGGTGGTACTGATAACAGATCAGTCAGCCACACAATCCCCTTGTTTTATGAAAGCTTGAGCAGCTATAAGTAACAATCAGTCACTGACTGGTTTCAGAGTTGAGCTACATATGTAAACAGTACCACGGTGAGGCGTTACAGTTTGCCCACAGCAAGCTAAATGTTACATGCCACTTAGGGCCATCATGTCAGCATAGTGCTGCTGTTAAAGGGTTGTGAAGTGTGTTCATATTGATGCGAGAGAACAGCATGATTTCAGTATTATTTTCGTAAACTTTGAAGAACGTTGTTATGACAAAATAAATAATAAATAATAATAAATAAGTGTTTCAACATTTGGTTTAGTGTCATCCATGTAATGTTTCAGCTCGATGACTGCATGTGGTGTTTCTTAAGTCCAACAATTCATATGGTTGGCATAGCTGTTTACCTTTTACGCCCATTGGAATCTATTTCGTTGGATAATCCAATCTGGCATTGACATTCATATACGCCGCGGCGCGTTGCCCTCCCGTAATTCATTGACAAGACCCGTATCTGTTAAAAAGAGACAGAGCGACACGCCCTAAAATAGGAGCGGTGTAACAACTCAGCGAGTGAGTGAGTTTGGTTTTACGCCGCTTTTAGCAATATTCCAGCAACATCACGGCGGGGACACCAGAAATGGGCTTCACACATTGTACCCATGTCGGGAATCGAACCCAAGTCTTCGGGGTGACGGGCGAACGCTTTAACCACCAGGCTACCCTACCGCCCCGTAACAACTCAACCAACAAGGTCAATATAGGGTGTGACCACCATTTGCGTTGATACAGGCGAAGCAGTTGCGGCTCATTGAAGACACCAGATGATTAAATGCAACCTGTGGGAGGTTGTTTAAAATGTCAAGCTCTATGGGGATGAGGTCAGGGGAAAAAGGTCAGGGGAAGAGGTCAGGAGAAACAGCCGCCATGGCAGCACAGCAATGCGATCCTGCCTCGAAAAGTCTGTTAAACACGTGCAACAATTGGGGGGCATTAAACTGCTGCTTCGGGACGTTATGCCCCTGCATTTGCACAGAACATGATCTGAAACGATGTCGTCACGTGAGTGAACGCGATTCAAATTGCCGTTAAAAATCATGAGTTATATGCTCCCATGCATTGTGATGCCGCCTTATAGATCACACTTCCATCCCCAAACTGACGACGTTGGTAACACAGGCGTCACTAAAACGGTCTCCTGGATACCTGTAGACACTTGCACCACCATCAGAGCTATCCACCAGATCCCGCGAGTCGCCTCTTACGACAAGCATAGTCGCCTTTAACGGCAAGTTTAGTCGCCTTTAACGGCAAGTTTAGTCGCCTTTTACGGTAAGCATAGGTCGCTGAAGACCCGGACAAAACACGCAAACATCCAAATTGTACGCCATGCAAGAAGAAATTGTGAATCACGACCTAAAAATTCAGGTCCAGGAGATGAATGTGTGTTGAAGGATGCATTACTTTATTTCAGAATGAATATCAGTAAACTTCAGAAGACTATTCATTTCATTTCTAACATAATTGTCTTGAACCTTTGAAGATCAAGACGTAACTATCTCTATGGTCACCACGTTTAGTCACAAATGTTTCCCGTTTGGGAGTATGGTGTGCAAAAAAATCCAATTGTTTTGAGTGAGTGAGTGAGTGAGTGAGTATGGTTTTACGCCGATTTTAGCAATATCACGGCGGGGGACACCAGAAATAGGCTTCACACATTGTACCCATGTCGGGAATCGAACCCGGGTCTTCGGCGTGACGAGCGAACGCTTTAACCACTAGGCCACCCGACCGCCCCCAATTGTTTTGACATAACTGAGGTTGGTTCTTTTCTGAGATTGCAAATATTCAAGTGAATCTTTGGATTTGAGAATCCATATGGTATTAAAACCACTGTCAAATGTCAGCGAATACAAAAAGAAATCTTCCTTGATTGTATTAAGATTATGGTTATGTTTTCGTGGTACATTTGCTGGGCCAGTAAAACATCTCACTTTGTACGGAATTTTGTTTACCTTTGAATCTTTTATCTATGTTTATCGTTGGCTGTGACAGATTCTTCCTCACTAAACATACTGCATTATATGTGGTATTATTTGATATGATACATCAAATCCTTTTATCAAACTATTTATGTTGTGATACTTACATAATAATGATCATCCTATTTGAGGCCTTGTCAGTGGTAAGAACTACGAAGTTTTCATGTGGACATTGTTTGATATTTACATAATATTTGTTTCCCTTATTAGAGATTGGACGGACCCTGCAGTGCAGTGACGTGCGGTGTACATGACAGATGTACTGTGGACAGAACAGGCGTCGATGCATGCTGCAAGTATTTTATAGTTTCGTTGGAGTATTCCTTAAGGACATTCACACGGTACAACTAGTTGTATACAATATATTGCATGCAACACAGTGCATCCTATGAACTTGCAAGCCGTGCTAACTTTGAATGTGTGCAACTTGTTGGACGTGAGTTTTATGACACAGGACATGTTCTGTTTTCATGCGACAAGTTGTACGCAAGCAGCCAACCAAAAGACGTTTAAATATCACGGTAACGTCTGTTTTTCGGAAGTGTAAACATTCAGGAAAATACTTATGTAAAGTAGGTTGGTTGAGTTACCTGTAACAAATTGATATTTGCAAAGGTCTACGTCCCTAGGTTAATCTTAACGTAAACAAAGTCAACATCCAGTTTTACACTATATTACGACCCGGGTAGGGAATAGGTCTTCACAACCCGTGCTTGTCGAAAGAGGCGGATAATGGGATCGGGTGGTCAGGTCTGTTGAGTTGGTTGATGCATGTCATCGTATCCCTATTGCGTAGATCGATGTCCAAGATGTCAATCAGTGGATGGTCCAGACTCGATTGTTTACAGACCGCCGTCATAAAGCTGGAATATTGTTGCGTGCCGCGTTTAACAACAAACAAACAAACACTCTAAATTACAGTAGCATTTTCTACTCTATCGAGAGATCCACTCGTCAATTTGTTGCATGCATTGGCTCAGATTATTGCTAATTATGGTTGCAAGAACTGAAAAATTAATAATTTGACAGGCTACTTGACAATGATTTCGAAATATCAACAGCATTTGTCGAAGTTTCATTGTTCACCTGAAAATCCTACTCTGAACATCCAACGCACTGCTATCAGTGAACACGCTATTTTGTGAAAGGAAGTCAGCGATACATCTATGAAAGAATCTTTGAAGAAATATTACTTCTGGTAAATGTACATAAAAGGTTCATTAAAAAGACATTTAATGATATTTGTAAAGTAAACGTAAACCTGAAAGATATTTATCAATGGGTTTCTTATTACATATGTACACAAGTGTGCACAAAAAGATCTAGAATGATTGTTTTTCAGTTGTTTTTGATCGCTCGATCATAATGTCTATAATAAAATGCACGAGGGGTGCGTTGAAAGGGTCCAATCATGTCATTTTCTCTGGGTGCAGGCGTGTATGTGTGATGTGCGATATATATATATATAGATACCCAGGTACCCAGAGAATATATATATATATATATATAAAATATAATATATATATATATATATGTGTGTGTGTGTGTGTGTGTGTGTGTGTGTGTGTGTGTGTGTGTGTGTGTGTTGTATCGATAAAGTCTTAAACTCGCCTCATGCTGTATACAATGACGGCAATTAGGAGAAATATCAGTGATTCTGCAAAAGTCGACTGGCTATACCAAATTTCCATGATTTTATCAACTTTTGCCTCCATATCATTAACAAATTTGAAATACATTTTCAAAACGTATTGGATGACAATAAGACAATAAGCCAGTGCTATGAACATCAAACCTGGGGTTCAATATCCATATTTGTGAAGGAGGTTTTGGGTACACATGGATTAAAAACACTCGAGAATGTATTGTCGTGAGCCATAGCAAGTTCCCACCACGAATGCGGTATTACAATGGCTTACAGGTAAGCATATGTACACGTCTTCATCGTGTTTTGGCGTCAGCGGAAAATTGATCCTTTCAGATATGAGGCTTTATTTTGTTTACATACAGCTGCCAAATAAACCTTTTCGTCGCACTGTAACTTTATCGATGTACAATAAAAAGTGGCCACATGTTAAAGGGTGTTTTGTCAGCAAATCAGTAATTTTACATCATGGTGTAGAATATTCAATACTCTACAACTCGTTTAAATTTCAAAGTCAGGGGTTGGCCCAGTGCCGCGCGACCGCAATTCTTGCACAACAATCACGCTGCATACCTTATAAAAATGTGCGTCTTAAAATCAACTCGGCAACCAGGCTTCCATCAGTGATGGAATGAATCACTAATTTCTAATGTTTTAGTTGGAGATGTCGCGAGATCCGAGTTGTTTGCAACTCGCAGCTGGGTAAATGACGAATCGTATCGCAACTTCAGTTCGTGCAACTAATTTCCTACAAGTTGGTCCAACAAGTTAGGCCGTGTGAATGCCCCCTTGTTACATCAGACCAACTCATGATCAACTTCAACACTGTTAGAATTCCAGGATAGGGTAGGCCCCGAGCACCACGCATGTACGCTTGTTGTAAGAGGCGACCAAAGGGACTGGGTGGTTAATCTTGGTGACTCAGAAGTCATCGCACCCAGATGTCGTGTCCATTATATCAACTACTGGTGTCTCTGGTCCAGACTCTAATATTAACAGGTCGCCGTCAATAGCTTGCCTATTGTTTGTTAGTTTGTTTGTTTGTTTACCGCCACACTCAGCAATATTCCAGCTATATGACGGCGGTCTGTAAATAATCGAGTCTGGACCAGACAATCCAATGATTGACTTCATGAGCATCGAACACAGCAATTGGGATACGATGACATGCATCAAGCAAGTTAGCGAGCCTGACCACCAGATCCCGTTAGTCGTCTCTTACGACAGGCATAGTCGCCATTTACGGCAAGCATGGGTTGTTGAAGACCTATTCTACCCTGGATCTTCACGGGGCGGCTTGGAAATTGCTGACTGTGCCATTAAACATCAAACCAACTAACCGTATAGTCTAAGATACTTGTGGAAAGGTAAGAGCCGTACAAGACAACTATCATTCTGTATTCTGAACCAAAGATCTAAACCGTCTTCACTGAGCCAAAGTTTGTTTTCGAGAATTAACGTTAAACGTTAGGTGATATCTCTGTCTGTTCAATATTTTAGCTCCGGTGTCTATTAGTGGCGATCATCCCTACATTCTTGTTCTTAATACGTCTGTGTGGGAGACGGCAAGGCTGAACTGTATGTCTTCATTTGGAGGACACCTGGCAATTGTGGACTCCATTGACAAGATCAACTTTCTGACAGTATTAATTAATGCTACAGGTATGTTTTAACATTTGTATTATGCAATTTCGTTAAATCCGTGAAAGGACAAATAAGGGACATAAACATGTTTGCATTACAACGAGACTCGATCCAGGGTAGAATAGGTCTTCAGCAACCCATGCTTGCCGTAAAAGGCGACTATGCTTGTCGTAAGGGGCGACTAACGGGATCGGATGGCCAGGCTGGCTGACTTGGCTGATACATGTCATCGTATCCCGATTGCGTGGATCGATGCTCATGAAGTTTATCACTGGATTGTGTGGCTCGATTATTTACAGACCGCCGTTATGCAGCTGGAATATTGCTGAGGGTGGCGTTGTACAAACAAACAAACAAACAAAACATTACAATTATCCTGTCTAGGCAAAGTAAACTGCTGCTAACACTTCGGTGATGGTTGATTGCTAGTAATGAAGTATTAGCACCCCGACGACGATCCGGGGTAGAATAGGCCTTCAGCAACCCATGCATGCCGTTAAAGGCGACTAAGCTTGTCGTAAGAGGCGACTAGCGGGATCGGGTGATCGGGCTCGCTGACTTGGTTGATGCATGTCATCGATCCCAATTGCGTGGGACCCGTCAAGATTCCGGGGTAGAATAGGTCTTCAACAACCCATGCTTGCCAAAAAGGTGGCTATGCTTGTCGTAAAAGGCGACTAACGGGATACGGTAGTCAGGCTCGTTGACTTGATTGATGCATGTCTTCGTACCCAATTGCGAGGATTGATGCTCATGATATCAATCACTGGATTGTCTGGTCCAAACTCGATTATTTACAGACCGCCGTCATAAGTTGGAATATTGCTGGTGCGGCGTTAAACAACAAACCAAACCAAAACACCAATTGTGTGGATCGATGCTCATGATATTATTCACTGGACTGTCTGGTCCAGACTCGATTATTTACAGACCGCCGCCATACAGCTGGAATATTGCTGAGTGCGACGTAAAAGACCAGCCAACTTGGGAATTTACTCATAATAATAACCACTGGTTTCTCCTACCCACACTCAATTATTTTCAAGCAGCCGTGACATCACTGACTGCATAAGCGTAATTTACCACTCACTAATGTGCACTATTGTATCTGAGATACACGTAGGTAACTAAATTGAGATGACATACATATTGCGTCTCAGGTAGGTATGTAGTCTGAGGCTGTAATCCTTTCTTCAGGAGACTTCTTCCTCAGAAAGTTCTACATCGGTGCCTCGGATATACAGGAGGAAGGCAGCTGGAGATGGATGGATGGGAGTCCCCTAAACTTCACGTACTGGAGACCCGGACAACCAACAAGCACGCCTGATCAGGACTGCCTTGCGTGGAAATTTGGCGATGGATGGAGAAACCGCCCATGCACAGATAACATCTTCTCTATCTGTGAAAGGTCGTTTTAAACAAATTAAATCTGAATTGCAATTTGGTTTGTGCACATTTATTGATATAGTGAGTTAATATTAAACGTCACATCCGCAATATTTCAGCCGACGAGAAGTTATCAATTAATAATACATACCTTTAGACAAATAATACATACATTTAGAATAAAATCGATGGCCAGTACAATAACTAGAGTATAACAGATTCGATTTTAAACTAGTTGAGAACATTTAAAATAATACATTATCATTAAAAAACACAAACAAACAATCTTAAAACGGGCTATAGATCGCTATCAACTGAAGGTAGATCACCATACTAGGGATCATAGGGACTTATAGTACGTTTGCTACCTGCATGAACCCCAGCCGGATTCACATCATCCCTTCAGGTGTTGACGATTATTGACAAATTTAGCCAAGGTTAAAATAACACATATTCTACGATTGAAAACGTGGCAGAAATATAACTACTTCGAATGACGTCGTCTTACATACATTCTCTGGGGGACAATCCTTTTACACTACTTCAACCAACATCAAGGGTACAGCCACTAACAATCTCAGTTAACAAATTTCTTTCTACCAAGTCTAAAAAGATCATTTATTCATTACAAGACACACGTTTCAAAATTTATTTAACAATTCTATTTCTTTAAAAAAAAGAGAGAATTAAATGAAATTTGATATAAACATAATGATCCTTGGGCGATGAACTTTGAAAAAGTTATCCCTTGTGATGCAAAAATCAACGCAATCAAGCAGGGCATTCCTGAAAGTGATTCTGTGATCACAAGGGATAAAGAATGGAGGATCCTCACCTTTCAATAAATATCCATGAGTTTATCACGAATGACCAATACGACATCGTCTTAATATGATCTCTTCAAAACTAGACTGAGAACCCAAGTAGGTGTAATCGATATTTGGTTTTATTGCATGTAATATATACATATACATATATATATATATCTATATATATATATATATATATCACTTCTTCTGCATTAGATCTCTGATGTAATATCGTTGTTTGTTTGTTTGTTGTTTAACGCCGCAATATTCCAGCTATATGACGGCGGTCTGTAAATAATCGAGTCTGGACCAGACAATCCAGTGATTGACATAATGAGCATCGATCTACGCAATTTGGGATACGCTAAAATGCACCGATCAGCGAGCCTAACCACCCGATCCCGTTTTTGATGTTTGCAATGATAGATGACCCTTTACCAAATATGCCATATGACAATGATTTCTTTCAGTGTGTCTACTGTTGTCTGAGCGGATTTGTTTGGAATTTCACGCATTCCAAGGATTGTTGGGTTTAGGTGCTGATTGGTAAACATACGTCTGATATTGTTGTCCAAGTTTGGATGTCTCGTCGGTGTAGGGCGTCCGCTTTTAACCCAACGAGATTTAATACGGCTTTCATGTGGTTGTGGGGGGCGGTCGGGTAGCCTAGTGGTTAAAGCGTTCGCTCGTCACGCCGAAGACCCGGGTTCGATCCCCGACATGGGTACAATGTGTGAAGCCCATTTCTGGTGTCCCCCGCCGTGATATTGCTGGAATATTGTTTAAAACGGTGTAAAACCATACTCACTCACTCACTCACTTCATGACGTTATGGACGTGATGATACCCTACAACCTTAAATACATCCAGTGCCTTCAGACATTTGGCTTTCAGATATTTAATAGTGGTACGAAAGTAAGGTGATGATCGGAAATTATTCCTAAACATTAAACTTTATTCGGAGTTCCCGCTAGATGTAATTCTGGATCCCTATGTTGTTTATATTTCGACAGAAATGAATACAATTTGTTTTTGATTTTGAAAACTTGAAACCGTTACATCGATACCAATCATTGATTTTATTTAGACAAAGCTGCAGCTGTCTCTCAATTGTATGCATAATTTTACCTCGACATGATACATTAAAATCAACAGATCATGACCCATTAACAGAGTCATTTAAAACCTTAGACAAACTATTTATTTTGACACAAAACAACGTTACCGATAATATGTTATCTAGAGGGACACCCTGATCTTGATCGTAAAAATCAGACAAGGTTGATCCCACACGTACCTGGAAATGCCTATCTGTTAAAAAGTGTGATATAGAATGCGATATACGGCCTCGCAACCCATCTCATGAATGTTACCTTAAGTGTTAGTGTTTGTACCACCACCGAGTAGGCTGTGGACATTTAGATCACCCATAATTACACAGGGTTTGGCGAGTTGATTACAGAGAGATTGAAGATCAGACAGCTGAAGAGCTGACGAAGGCGGAATATACAGTGAGCACATAGTAAAAGTTCAAAGCAAGTCGCACTGCAACATATTGGAGATTGGTGTTAAGTGTAATGGGGCTGTAGATTTTAACAATGATTGAAGATCCTCCAGTGGCCCTATCACCCGGAGAAGAAAAATATAACTGTATCTATAGCATTGCCAAGTATTAGAAATTGAATACCACTGTCGATATATGTAATACGAAGGGTTTTAATTTTTCTATGAATGTCTCTGTAATGTTTTGGATGTGAAATGAGAGTTTTGTATGTCCCTCTCTGTGATCCGTACCCATGTTATAGATATCTTGATGTCTGTACGGTGCTATTTTGCTGAACAATTTCTGATGCCATGAAAACCAATGATTCACCCAAAGGTCAATACTCTCTGTCAAATTGTTGCTATTACTAGAATATATGCTTTGAGTTTATTAACGGAGAATAAAGAACAGACTATAAAGTTAAACCGCGTTCGGCTCCAGGGGTACTGCAATTCATCCTATCAATACGGTATATTACAAGATAAAGCAGTTCTCGTTTTGCCTGAAATATAGGAAGCAGCTAGTTTATCAAGTTCCGAGTGTTTGAAGGACATCAAATCGCTGTATTATCTCATCGATGTTTTGCAGCCAGGACTCATGATAATCCGGGTAAGACGTGGTCTTTAGCAGCCCATGCTTGTCCTAAGGGGCGACTAACGGGATCGGATGCTCAGTTTCATATTCTAGGTTGATGCTTGTCATATCCAAACTGCGTAGATCGATGTTCATAATGTCAATCATTCGATTATTTCATCCAGACTCGATTATTTACAGATGTACACTTACTAATCCCTATTTGATATGTACCGCATCTTCAAGTGTTTGTTCCGGTGAAACTTTGACGTGCCTTTGTATGTGTTTGTGACGATACCATCGCCGTGGCAGGAAACGCTCACCTTTTCGCAAGTAACTGGTTTTATTACTGTTTGAAAGTGATTCATGGTTGTGACATGGTCGAAATCGTACAATGGAGTTTGCCTTCAGCAGAACTTTCTGACGAATATGGAAAGGGCTTTGTCGCCATCATGTATTGCTCAAGATACATATATACATCATTATTCTTCATATTAAAAGTCACAATGGTACTTTTAGAACCTTTTAGTCATAAGGTAGAAGTTTTGTAATAGGTTTCAAAAAATGTCCAACATAGACTTCAAAGAGGAAATTGTTTACAACCTCCAACTTCGAGTGGCGATCATAATGACTCGTAAGAAGTATCGACTTCATTAGCACCTACACTACGCTTCCTGGTTACTGGAAAAGATGATGTTGAAATTGTGTCCGTTTGAAGGTTCTATTTTATTAAGGTTTAATAATTCGAAGGTTATTAGATGTATCAAAAGAAGGATGATGAACACGACTATAGTAAAGCATGAAATAGCAGTGGAAGGGGTATTGATGATAACAATGGGGTGACATGCTTTGATGTATAATTTCATCTGTTTCACATGGGAGTACAACATACAAAAGCGTCAATGTAGCCTTTGAGATTTGAGTGGCATTGTTGTCAAAAATAAGACTTCAGTCAAGACACATAAAGCCACGTCCTTATTGACAAGTTTACCATCCGAAGCTAATGCTTATATTGTCGAAGAAACATTGTCCAGCGAAAGGTCGCTGGTTCGATCCATGCCAAAAGACTTTTCAAGCGTAATCTTGAACCACACCTTGCTAGAAACACAAATGCTAAGTTCCAGCTGCACCTGCCCAGCTATTTCAGAACAGGTGTTTAAAGACGATCACAAGTAAACCACAAACCATTGTGAGCTGACACGTATCTAACTGTGCCAACGGAAAAACGTAACTGTGTTTCATTTAAAGTGGTGTAAATGTTATGTTAATGACCAGGACGCCTGTAGACCACCAGAGCTGTCAAGATGAAAACTGGAATAATATGTGAACAGTATAATGTCTCAGTCTAGTCTTCTGAATCTCAGATGCTGTCTACACTTAGCAAGGCGTTCCTGACGGTGAGTTGGAAGCAACACTGGGCGTATGCTGTGCTCCCTAAACCGGTTAAGTACCGTTCTGCCACTAATTGGTCTCAACATTTAAATGTCTGGCAACTTCGTTTTGCGCCATTCCTTTTTGCAGCAAACCAACGGCGCGCTGTCGTTGATTTTCAGCGAGCCGTGTCATTGCGTAAGCGTTATTTACGGTTGACGAAAGGTCTTTTTATGAGCAACTGATAGCTGAACAATAATTGTGTGCTGTTTACACTCCAAAAAATAATGTTTGAGTATCAAACTGTCCGCAGTGCATGAACATGCACGTGAAAATTGTAAATCACGACCTTAAAGTCGAGGTGGGAGTGAGTTTATGCTTTACGTCACATCGGCAATATTTCAGCCATATCGTGACGAGAAGTTATAGATTGTCTATACATATATTTAAACCAAATAAATACCTGTCATGGATGGACAGTAAAATTACTAGACTATCACAGATTTATATTTAAAACTAGCATACAACAATTAAAAGATATCACTAAATGAACCAGTACAATGTAAAAAAGGGCTATAGATCGCCAGCATCTGAAGGTAGATCACCATGCCAGGGTCCATGGGGACTTACAGTATTATTGCTACCTGCATGGACCCTATCCGGATTTACATCATCCCCTCAGCTGTTGACGATTTAAAGTCGAGGTGATGTCTTCGTGATTATGTACTAAAAGACGCAGTATTTACTTTACA